GCCTGTTGCTGGTAAGCCTAACATTTTCGAACGGCAGTGCTTTGGTCTGCATTGTGTCATAGACTCCCCGGCAATCGTCTCTGCCACTCATCTTCAGGCATAAAAATAGGTCTAACTGAGTTGTCTGGTCAGCACCAACTTGGTGGTTATCAGTCAACAAGGGGAACACTGCACCTCCGAACTGCACATATTGACTTTGACCTTCCCTTGTACGCTTGACCCAGTTCATTGCCTCCTGATCTCAAGTACTTAAAACCGGTGCTGATATCGGCAAAGGTGAAGTCATTCGGAAATATATAAATAGCTGACACTATCCAGAAGGGATGTGGTCTGCCAATGAACCACACTGACTAAACGGCAGGGTAGATTTATTATAAAGAAGATTAATCAGTGCCTGCTTTGTGTGTTTTCAGCCCATTGTATTGGAATTTACATTTCTTGGGAAGTCGCAGGTACCTTTTGTCATGTATGATACTCATTTTTACACTTCAGCTCATTGTCCCTGGGTGACGGCTACTTGCCTTTATGTCAGTAGCACTGCGGAGATGTTAACAAATGGAATAGTTACATGATGTTGCATGGCAGTCTTTGACCACAGGGTGCATGTTTTTGGCAGGCTATCATCCTCTCTGCAATTTAACATGCCAGCTGTTTATATTTTTCCACTGCAACTGTTTTTTTTTTTTGTAAATTAAAAAATAGCCACAGGCTGTTCTCTGACTTGACTAATATTTAAGCATGATCTGGTTTTTAGGTATGTTCCTTATGTCAGAGGGGTAGGAACTTCTTGTTGAGGGTGTCAACATTTTCCATTGAATAGTTTTCATCTACGCTGCCTGCCGTGTTGACTAGATGTTCACAAAAGAGCTCACTGAAAGATACCAGATGGTTGTCAGGGATTAGAGAAGTGTGTGTAAAAATATACAGCCATCCAGCATGTGCTCTGCAGCAGACACTACTATCACTGCTATAATGGCTATTGAAGCAAGATATAAACTGTAATCCTTTATGCCGTAATCTTAACAAACCACTCGGCATTGAAAAAGAATGTTGGATTTCTACGGTGCTCCTCCGTGTGTTCTCCATGCTCTGCACAGGCAGCTGATATCATGTGCTTCAATGAACTCTGTTTATTCACGTGTAAAATTATGGGTGGACGCTCAAGACTAAGCAAAGACGGGATTAATGAGAAGCTCATATGTATTGTGGAGGGTAAGTCAGATGTATACAACAAAAATCTGGAATCTCTGAAATCAACTTTATATTGTGTATCCCAGGAAAGTTGAGGAAGCTAGATCAGGGCTGGGTATGAAGGAGGGTGGTTAGCAGAACAGATATTACTGTAGCTTTGTAATTAATTGTTTCTGTTGACATTTTTCTTGATGAAGCCTATTCTTTTTCCTTTTCTTTTTTTTTTTGCCCCTCCCACATTTTTGCTATGCCAACCTCAACTTGTTTATGCAAAGAGTTTGAAAGGGTTAGAACCTCTGTTAATTAATTGGCTGTCTTTGTACCCATTGGAGAAATTGCCTTAATTTCTTTTCCTGTTGACCATACCGGAAGTTTAGTAGAATCTTAATGACACAGACAGTAGTAGAAACCTGACCGAGAATCTCACATTTCCCCTACAGACAGACCCCAATAAATACAAAAAAGTTCAGTAATTTCCTGTTGTGATGACACAGGAAGTCAGGTGATGTCTTACCAGTAGAGACACAGATCACAATATATGGATTGGGGCTTCCCTGATGTTGATGCATCTCTATTGTGCCCTCCCTCAAGATGTGCAGCACCAGCAACTTCTGCCTGCAATGCCCATCTCTTCCTACCGTCCCTCTCTCTATGTTAAAGAGTAACTCCATCTTTCCAACCATCTTTTTTGTTGCACCCATATTCGGAAACATGGTCACACAACCCCGCCCCCCAAGCCACCTCCACTCTTGCCTAAATCCTAGGGTTGTTCTCCCTGCAGCATCCAGGCATCTTTTGAAATCGGTACAACGGTGCGTGGCTCCACCTGTTGCATCTTCCGTTGACAGATCCTTGCATAAGATCTGTGAATGGAGAGACTACAAGGCATGTCTGACACGGCCGCAGCAGATGGACTCTTAGTTCTTAATGGAGTACAGTGACATCTCTGCAATTGTTAATTGATACTTCCTCCCACCCTGAAGTCTAATTGAAAGTCCATGCCTTGCACAGACACAGGCTGGGATGAATAGTCTGCAGGATTCTATGCATTGCACCAATGATCCGTTGATTGCTGCTACAATGCTTTGGAGGCTCCAATGCCAAAAATATTGGACTCTTCCTTTAAGTAAGCAGAGACTAACTTAAAAGCTTACAGAGAACACTGCAGCACCTGGGAGGTTTGCTGCCCAGAAGGGCATTTAACCATCTTCTGTTTATATCTATGGGAAACCTTAGTTAAACGCTGTAACAGTTTACCTCTGTTATGAGCTGAGGTGCATGCTGTGCAGACCTAAGACAGGCAGAATATAAATGAATTAAGCAGCCAGAGCGTTATTTATGTGATCCGCATTGAGCACAATGTTGACAGTTATTGACATGGAGTTATTTTTAAAAGGTATTGAATGAATGCTGAATGGAACCTATCCAGTCTATTGTGCTACATAATCTCTTCTAAAGTCAGGATTTGGCTTTGCCACTTTTAGAAATGAAATGTTGCTCTGCTCTCCATACCCAAACAAATTTTCCAAATGGAAGCATATCCTACCTACCGGCTTCAAGATTTTTTTTGTTTAGCATATGGTTCATCACCACATCTACTTATTGCATGTCAAGGTACTTACTTTGCCTTGTGCCCCTCCGAGCTTCCTACGGTTTATTATTCACTCAACCCTTTCAAAGGAGAGGCACATGGGCACTGTCAGTTCTGATCTGCAGGGGTTCCGTGCACAGATACCCTGTTGAACTGTGTCCATCCACTTTTTGCCTCCATCTTACTTTCGTGGAAAAAAACCTGAACTTACCGGACCAATGTTAGGCCTATGGGGAGTTGGATGGACATGTGTCCGTTTACATCAGATTACTCACAATCCATCACAATCAGGTCTGCCAAAACCGAACTCTGTTCTGCTCTGTTTGGACCACCTGTCTTAAAGGGACCTTATTCCATCAGAGTTTACAAACTAGTGTTCATTTAACGGTAATCTATGTTTTGTCAAGTTATAGTTGTGCATGTCATTAGTTTAATGCCAATGTATTCATGTGTGTTAAGCTTTTTTTTAAAAAAAATAACACTATATATACACTGTCTGGCCAAAACAAATTCACACACTCTAATATTTTGTTGGACTGCCTTTAGCCTTGATTACTGCACACATGCGCCGTGGCGTCATTTCGATAAGCTTATGTAATGTCATAACATTTACTTCCGTCTAGAGTTGCAATAAATGTTCAAGATCTTGTAGGGATGATGGGAGAGTCAGACCACTGCGTAAGGTCTTCTCCAGCACATCCCAAATATTCTCAATGGGGTTAAGGTCTGGACTCTGTGGTGGCCGATCCATGTGAGAACATGATCACTCATGCTCCCTGAACCACTCGTTCACAATTTGAGCCCGATGAATCCTGACATTGTCATCTTGGAATATGTCTGTGCCATCAGGGAAGAAAAATCCATTGATGGGAAAACCTGGTCATTCCTTATATTCAGGCAGCAGCTGACCTCAGTTTTTGGGCACATAACATTGCTGAACCTTATCAACTGAAGCAACCCCAGATCATAACACTGATCTAAATCCAGGAGGTGACTTTTTTTTTTATTGGGCCAGGCAGTGTATATTGTGTACATAGTGGCAGCCTTATTTGCTCATATAGATTAGCTTTAATTCCTGACAGTGATTGTGCTTTAATAATGCTTTTTGAAGGGAGGACCTACAGTTCTGTATGTGAAATATAATGATGAAAATGTGAACGTTACATCAAAATTGAGTTTCTGTTACACATTACAAATATAATTTAGTTTCCTTGGTGGAAGTACATGGTCGATTTCAATAAACAAAATATTTTTGTAAGTGTTTTTTATAAGTGTTTATATAAAGTATATTTATACAAGTGTTTTTCTCCCCTTCCAACTTTTTAACATTAAATAGGTTGACTTTTTTTTTTTTCCCTTTACAAATTCTGGCACCATATAAGGATTAAGCATTTTGGCCAATTCAAGTGCCATTGATTTTTAAAAACCTGGCTGTAATGATTTAAAAAAAAAAAAAAAAAACTTCAGATGCAAGAAGTTTTCTTTCAGACCTATCATGAAATGAAAAAAGTCTAGTGTCCTTTTTAGCATGTCAAACAGCCCATGGTCTACTGTTTTTCTGATTCTTGGGGATATTTTTCATTTTAGCACAGTCCACATACCCTGCAGCATTGCAGCCATTGGTGTTTGGCTATAGCAAGATTGATACTTTCACCCAAAGTCTAAAAACATATATTGGCCATTCATACTGAAACGGCCCTTTGCTGCGTGTTAATGCACACATGTTAATGCGTGTTGTGGCAAAGGCTAACATGCAATGAGCTAAGGCACCCCATTCTTTGTGAATGGGCCTCCAATGCACCACAACAGATGAAAAAACGTACATGACTCTTATAAACGCATTGCACCACAGCCACCCGTTATATGCGCTGTAGTGCTCTCCATTAAACTCTACTGTACACTTGTGTTGCGGTGGATCCACAATGAATGGCACATGAACTAATTTTACCATACCTAATCCACACGGCCACAGTTCTTTCTGGTAGTGCTACACTGAAGTGTAATATTCTTTTGGTGTTCATGGTAAAGTGTTCACTGGGAAGACCTGCATAATATGTTCGTTGCATAGCAATCAATTGCAGTGGCCTTGAATGGGGACACCAACTCCAATGGTCATTCAGGGGACACAAGTATGGTGTCAGCATTGGAATTCACATGGTATTGCTTCCATTCCGAGGGGTGACATAATTTCTAACTAGGCTATTGTGTTTTTTTTCAGGGTGAATGTGTCCTTACCGTAAATCTCAGTAAACGGAGTAAGCGGAAAGCTGATGTATTTTACCTGCTCTTTACTGGTTCCAAACAGAGACATGTAGCAAGTACTCGCAGAGTCAACTCGGCAACACTACAGACAGTTGCACCAGGTGAGCATTTTACATTGGTTTTGTTTTATCTACCAAACATGGGTGATCTGCGGCCCTCCGGCAGTTGAGTTTTTACCAGGACCAGCCAGCGTCCGATAACGGGGATTTTGGGAGCTGTCATTATTTCAGCATTAGGAGGGGGAAAGGTAAAGTTTAGGGCTTTAGCTTAAAGGAGAACTATGGGGTCAGTGTTTTCCCCATAGTTCTCAGGGTAATTGGAGGACACAAACTAGCGTCCTCCCGTTACCCTATGCTCCGTATACCGCGAGCTACAGCTCACGGTATACTGAGACGCCGGAGCGGATCCCGACTTAGACGATGGGATCCGCCCAGCTGCGTGAGTGACAGCTGGCTCTGCCTATCTAGAGGCAGAGCCAGCTGTTCCCGCCCCCTCCCCCGTCCGTTCCGCCAGTCAGCGCTGGCAGATCGGAGCGGGGAGAGGGGAATCCAGCCCCTCCCCCTGTCACGGCAGAGAGCCGTGACAGGATCGAGAGGTGAGCGAACCCGGTATGTGTTCGCTCACCTCCCGATCTACAGAGCCGACCTGTGACAGTCTCATTGTCACAGGTCGGCTAGAACTATGTGGTGAGTGAAAAGCACTCACCTCATAGTTCTCCTTTTAATGTTAAGATTTTGGTCTGTGTGGATAATTTTAGGCAATTAAAAAGACATCAAACACCATCCATTCATTTTTAATCAGCTCAGCATATTCTCATCCGTCTGTACATTATTAATTAGCCATTTTTGTGCCTCAGCATGATGATAATAGAAGGCAGCTTTAGTGGGATGGCATTGTTCTTTCTCGCAATACTAAAAATAAGTTATGTTCGTCTATGAAATCCCTGTAGATTTTGTATTCTTAGCAGCATCCTGTCTTTTTACCGCTTTCCTTTCTTATACCATGTTTACCGTATACAAAATGCACTTCTATTTTAGGTCTAGTACACACAAATGTTGCAATTAAAGACAGGCGTATGTTTTGTACCTAGCTTTTTTTTTAATTTTTTTATTATTATTATGGTCAAGAACATTTTCTGAAATATTCTTGACAAAACACATTTTGCAAATGCTGCATCTGGATACTTTATATTTTCACAGAGACGCAGCAGGTAAAGCTCTCCTTTTTTTTCATATTTATTTGTATACAGTGGTACCTCAATTCACGAACTCTTCTGCTCGCGAACAATTCAGTTCGGCAAAATTTTGCTTCCGTTCACGAACTCTGCATCGGGTGATGAACACAACCGCAGCCATCTTCCCTGCTCTGACACATGGTCATAGTTTCCTCTAGTCGAGATCGAGGTCTGATCAGTTTGATTCGGTTCGCGACCAGAATCGTGGAACGAATTACGTTCGCGAACCGTGGTACAACTGTATTTACTTCCCATTCATTGGGAATAAACTTTTTTTTACATACATTGGATTACTGGTGACGGCTGTGGTGTGCCTCTGTAGGTTGCATCAGCCTTTTGGATGAGACTGATGAATTTGGGCATACAAATGTAAGAAGTGTCCTTTTCACAAAGTCAAAATTAAATTTACACAAGTGAATGAGTCAGAGCAGTGTTTAATCTCTTGTCTGTTGGCTGTTTTTGAAAGACAGCATGCCTGAAAGAAAAGTACTTGTGCTATGTTTAACTAACCCTAAGTGCTTTGGAAATCCTATGTCATGTATTAAATATGTTCAAAGATTTTACCTTTTTCTATTATTTTTTCTCCTTTAAAAGATATTCAGTGGAAGAGAGATAGTTTGTCTTTGCAGATTTTGCCTCATGCCCTAGCCCAGGAATCTGAAATGTAATGCTTAGAAGAGAGGGGAACATTTTTTCAAAAAGACTAAACTGTTCAGTAAAGCCTTTTTTTTTTTCTTAAAAGATTTTATTTAGGATGAGTTCACAATTTTGCACTGTGGGAACATGTTGGTACAGTGTGGTGCTATTTATTCTTGATGGTACCCCAACCAAGCTTCCCAACAGACATATGGTATTGTATTATCCTGCATTATGCTGTACTGCATTACAAAAAAAATCTCTTGATGAGGCAAATGGGCTGCTTTAGCACAACGCACACTACCATAATTTGTGTTACCACACTGCAGTTGTGTGACGTTTTAGCTCTGTGAAATCATGGCAAGTTCCTTATTTCTGATAAATTTTCTAGGCTACAAGATCAATTTGAGCAAATGTATGTATGCGTCTTGTATTTTACATGGTTATATAGCACATCAATGTATAGTGTAATGATTATAATAAGGGTTATTGATTTTGGAGATTTTTACGGGCATAAAGAGAACCAATAAGATGTCTTTCTAATCTACTTCAGCTAGCAGAGAATTTTGAAAGCGCTTCCCATGTATTGGCATGACTTGCGATGTCATGAACTTTATCGTGCCATATAAAGGCTCTTTGCATGCCAGATTAATGCTCAGGAGTGGAAGCTGGTCATCTCCTTCTACAAGAACATGAAAGCCACGGTTTTGATCTAGATTTGACCCCTCTCCATGCCTATTCAGTAGACACATTAGAAAGAATGGTCCAGCAGATCAATAATACATAGACTTACATGTCCAAGAGTGATGTTTTTTTCATCTTTGGCGAGTTGTGTCTTTTGGAAATGTAATTTACCTCTGCTCCCCACAAAGTTTTATACTTCCCTTCTCACACTACTGCCTGATCCATGATGTGCGGCTCGCAAAGTCTCCCTGCTGGTCCCTCACTTCTGTGCATGCATGGAAATACCCCATTTCATTCCTATGTAGGCTGTTGAGATGCAAATGAATGGTACTTGATTTCAGTGCATGTGCAAAAAAAGGAAATGACAGCCCGGGAAAAATTTCAGTGGTGGACCACGGAGAGCCACTCAGCCACCGCTGAGAACTTTACAATGAGCAGCACAGTGTGGACCTGGCAAGAGTGTGGACAGATGAGTGTAAGAAGATTTATTAAAGAATGCACAAAAGTACAGCTATCCGTTTACACATCAGTCATAAAAAAATTTAACTGCCAAAAAAGGTGCTTGCATTTGCTTAATGGTGCAATAGTGTACTTTGCATGGTAAGTGCACTTTAGACAATTTTAAATGACACTTTAAATAGTTTAAATCACCAGAAATTGGTAGCATTGTAGCAACATTCTTTCAGTCCAAACATGTGATCAGTGTATATTGAATACATTGATAATGGCATTCATTGTTATATCACTGCAAATTTGTATTATACATGAGAATTATAAGCCGGATGAAGTGCAAGGTCAATGGTTCGTTGTATAGTATGCCCGAGACTGGGATGGCTCCAGTTTTCTGCCTTCTTCATATAAAGCATAATGTGATGCCATACCATTTGTTGAAATGACAAATTATTGTGTTAATTGCCAGTGGCGCCCATTCTTACTAATAATGTACCTCATTCTATGAAATAAACACAATGGCTTGCCAATACAAGTAGTGATACAGCTGTCTTTGCTTTATATGTCTTATTTGAATAGGTTTTCAGTAAACATTAATGTTTGACATAAACATAATTTGTATCCAGTATTAATAACCACGTTCAGAATGTAGGTTAAAGTGTAGCTTGAGCATAGGCAAGGCAAACGTTAAACATTTCCTGGCAAGAATATGCACCTGGTCCTTGAAATACTGTAGTAAATGGGTACTTTATGTTTGTATTAAAGGAATGGACATCACTGTTCAGGCGAATAATTTGTTACAGGTGTTTTCCACTTTGAGCCATTGCGTCTCTGCATTATCTGCGCAGCACACATGGGAAAGCCACAAGTCCCCGAACTCTGACAGATGTTGACCAGATTGTGTTTGTGATAAAGAATTTATGTGACCCAGCAGGAAGCTGAACTTGGTGCTTATATTTTTATTTATTTTGCTGCCAAGCTGTGAAATAAACATTAACTGCCTCTTTAATTACAGAAATTATTCACACTCATAATAAATCTTTAAAAGATTAGAAGCTTCTCCACGGATCGCCCACCACCAGGCCCGTCCACCCCACGGCCGGCCAGGCAATCGAGGCCCAGACAACGCTCTTATCTCAGGGGCACCCCGACCAGGAGCAGAGATTCCAGGGAGCTGTGAGTAGAGGTCCCCGTTCTTCATCCCTAACCCCACAATGTTTCTTAGGGGTCCTCAGTCTGGACTGTGGAGCTAACGTACCCGCGAACTCCCTGGGGTGTAGTGTGTTTCCACACGCATTGAGTACAGACCCTCCAGGGGTATACTGTGGACGATTAAACACTCCGTCAGTATGGTGGGATAGTGGAGGTGGGTTGTGGGGCATGTTTGGAAACTGTCGGCTTGACCGGTTTATGTTTCGGACCATACTAGAGTCGGGACTCGTGTCCTTGAGGGTCTACCGAATGTTAACAATGTTACTTGCATTATACCTGGTTCGATTCGTATCCCCCTTGTTCTTTGTTTATGGGTGGGGGGGTTGCTCCTGCCTCGTTTGGATCGGCCTCGAGCTCCGACACCGGTCTGGGATGTAATGAGCTGCCTGGGGACTCCTAGTCCCATATGCAGGATGTTGGGTGGAAGATATGGAAGTCACCTATCCCAGGCGGGTCACCCGGGCCTCTACCTATCCAAATGCTGGGGGAATACTTGATACCCAGAAAATAGCATGTGAAGTGTTTATGTTTCCCACACTAATGGAGTATATTTATTTTTATTGGTTCTTATTTTCTTCACTTTCTCTCTTTCTGGCCGTCCCGGCCTCATTCGGCATGACTCCGTTGTTTACCTTATTGTTTACTTACTTAAGTTATAGAGACCTGAGATTTCGTTCTAGTGTACTTTTTTCGCCTTACTGAAGCACCCGGCAGGGGTGCCCTTTGTCTCCGATAATATTTGCCCTTACATTGGAGCCGCTTCTCAGCGCTATCAGGGCGGAAGACTCTATTGAGGGATTACGGGGACCTTCTGGTACGCATAAATTGGCAGCATATGCGGATGATTTGTTCGTCTTCATCTCCCGTCCAATGGCCTCACTGCCC